ATTTGATTTAATTGTTACATTTATTCTTAATTACAGGTCTTTTAACAGTAGTTTAAGAATAGTCGCACAATTATTATTATACACAAAAATTTTCATCATTACAATGTAATACAATAATATCACATGGACCTATTTAATTTCTTTATAATAAAATGACATCTCCTATTTTAATTTCTTAAGCATTTTAAGATTTTAATAAATTCATTTTATCTTTTTCCATTTTTTTTAATTTTTCATTTAATGGTATCTTTGTTGTAGTTTGAATCAAATCTTTTGGAAAGATACTTGGAACCCATTTCTTAAATTAAATTATTTATGGATCAGTTTCCATGACTTAAATTTATTATAATTTTAAAGCCATATCCTTATATATTAAAGGACTCATCTGATTATATTTTTAAAAATTTTCTTATACTTTCATATTTTTGTTACTTTATTGCTATTTGTATTAAATTGTTTAAAATGGAATGGATTTATTTGCTAATTATAAATTATAAATAATATAATACAATTTATTGATCTAGATATTCCTCTCTTTGACTTTAAACATAATCAATTTTCTTATTTTATGAACTCTTTTCAAATTAAGATTGACTTTTAAATTTTTAATTGCTTTCGCTTTAATCTTACTAATTTAATCTTTCTTGTATTTTAGAAATAATTTCCTTATTAACAATACATTCATCCCATTATTTAATAATCTTGGCTACTTATTCTTTTAACATTTAATCCATTTTCTATATTTTTAAAGAATTATGCAAATCAATTAACCATTATTGTAAAATAAGAGGAATTGTTACAAAATATAATGGCTCAGAAGAAAATGCTTATAATATCAAAAGTAAAAAGTAAATAATATTTTCTTTAATTACTCTGAATGGTAGAAGAAACAAATAATTTGTTCTCTAAATTGAATTTTGATTTTTTTAAAATCCTTCACATAAAACAGCTTCTACATTTCTAAATTGAATCTTACAAACTATTTAGATGATACTTAATATGTATTTTTTCTCATTTCATTATTATGCTTTAAATTCAGGAATAATTATTTCATTTTTAATTTATAACAGAATGTCAATCAATTTAGAACTTCTTTTTGATTTCAAATCTCAAGATAAATTCGATATCCATCCTCGACCATCCAACTATACAAATTTTATGGAAGAATGGTTAAAATCGATTAATTTATCAAAATACTATCCTAATTTTAAATTGGCAGGTTATGATAACTTTGCTTATTTAATATATCAAGAATAAAGTCAATACAAATTAACAAGTTAAGATTTTAAAGACTGTTTTTTATTGAAAGTGAAAACGTTAGATAATTACTAATTGCTCATATAACCATTAGTATTTACAAATCTTATTTTTATTAGTTTGTGATAAAATGATGAATTGTGATCTTTGGAGCGTTTAAGGTATAAAGAAGTAGTAATAACAATCAGATTTCAATTTGGTTTAATGCGCTCTACCATCTAATTAATGTTCAATATTTTGAAAATATATAATTAATTAATTTATTATTCATTTTTAAGTAATTGTGTCTTTCCAAAACATTTTGTATTTCTTAATTTTCATAAATTTAAGTTAATTCTTTAACGGTTTTTCCATTTCTTGTTTTAACATCTATCTTTGCTCCAAATATTAACAATAAATTAAGTAATTATACATTTTACTTTTTTATAGCAATATGAATAGGAGAGAAGCCTTTCTCAATTAATTAATTATATGATTACTTCATCGGATGAATTAATTAAAGTTTAATCGAAAGATTTATCTTGCAATAATTAAAATAAACATTTGATATCACATTTCTATATCAAATTGAAGAATTATTTCTGTTCTGAAGTCAAATGTAATATTTTTTATTTTTACTCTATATTTGCCTTTGATTCTATTAATCTAGATGACATATATTCAGTAACATCTTCTATTTCCATACTTTAAATTGATGATTATTTGCAATATTATGGATTTAATATACTGGATTATCTTTTGAATGATTTGAATGATTTGGTTTTTTTTTAAATTCTCTTCTATGGTTCCATTTTTGAAAGCATTTGGAAATAAGGTTTGTTAGTTTGACTTTTCTTGGTTAGATCACTAATAGATGGATCAACTAAATAGGTTCCATTAAATAGTTTAGAAATATTCATTTTGGTTCTCCAAGATTATTTCCTATTACTTTTATAGATTATACAATTATTCCTCAATCTGGCCAAAGTTGAAATCATTTGAATTTAATTTATTTTCTGATAATTCTTTAAGATACTAATTTTTAGGAATTTTATTCGTTTTTATCTTTGGATTACAAATTTTATTGATAATATTTATTATGCTTATCCTACTTTTAGATGGTTAAGAATAAAAATCATTAAGAATAGAGAGATCTGTATTTTTTAATTTACTCATTTTCACTAAATTCATTTGTACTATTTTTTAATCTATGATTCCTGACTTTAAATAATCTTATAATGCTTGTTTGTTTATTTTATATATGATGTTTTCACTAAAAAAAAAATGAAATTTATTCTTATTTTAAGTATCGATGGTTGTATCAATTTATGTTCTAACACTTTTACTAGTCAATCTTGGTAAAG